TTTATGTCTAATTGATATTTTTATCACTAATTGATATTTCACAAAGGTGCCAAAGCAATTTAATAGGGAAAGGATAGTCTTTTCAAGAAATGGTACTGGAATAGATACCCACATGCAAAAACAATGTTAGGTCCTTACCATACATAGGAAATTAACTCAAAATGAATCACAGACATAATATAAGAGCTAAAACCATGAAACTTAGAAGGAAACACAGGTGTAAATTCTTTGCAACCTTGGATTAGGCGAAAACGAATTCCATAAAAGAAAATATTGGTAAAATACACATATCCAAAATTAAAATATTTTGCATTTCAAAATACACCATTAAAAATGAAAAGACAAACCACAATCTTTAGAGAAAATACAGAATAAAAAACTCTTACAACTCAATAAGACAATCCATTTTTAAATGGGCAAAATATTTGAATAGACATTTTACCATATATATGTGGGGATATATATATATATATATTTATTCCCTATATATATATATATACACATGGCTAATAGCACAGAGGCTCAAAATCACTAGTGTTAAGGGAAATGCAAATGAAACTACATAAGATACAACTTTACACCCACTAGAATGGATACAAAAAGACAGAAAATAACAAGTGCTGCTGGGGATGTGGAGAAACTAACACTCTCACCATGTACAATGCTGGTGGGTATGCAAAAAAAGTCACTTGGGAAGACAGTATGGTAATTTCTTAAAAACTTGCACATAATTTTACCCTATTACCCAGCAATTCCATATTCCATTCCTAAGTACATATCCAAGACAAATGAAAACACGTCCACACAAACTTGTATGCAAATGTTCGTAACAGCATTATTCTTAAGAGCCAACGAGTGGAAACAATCCAAATGTCTATCAGCTGGTGAATGAACAGAATATGGTATATCCATACAAGGAAGTATTTTTAGCAGAAAGGAACAAATTCTTGATAACTTGTTACATCATAGATAAAGCTTGAAAATATGCCAGGTTAAAGAAGCCAGATACAAAGACCACATATATATATGATGGCATTTATATGAAAAGCCCAGAGAGGCAAATCTGTAACAATGAAAATCAAATTAGTAGTTGCCAGGGACCAGGATGGAAATGGAGATTGACTACAAATGGGCACGCATGCAGGATCTTTGTGGATGGTGGGAAGAATGTACAATTCTATAAGCTTACCAAACATCACTGGAATTCCCATTTACAACGGGAAGGTTTTATTTTATGTAAACCATACTTCAATAAAGCTGTTTTTTTTTTAAGAGTTAAACAAGCAAATAGCAAAAACTTCTATCTTTACCACACAGACAACTGCTGTTAACTTTTAGTATAATTTTTCTTCTGTGTGTCTTAACAAAAAGTGACTCTTTAGTTTTTTAAACTGCTTGGTTCATATACATTATGAATATATTTGTGTATCATTAAGCTTTCTTTTTATAATGACAATAACTGGATGAACCTTATTTCATAGCATCATGATTGATAATACTGAAAAACCATCTTAAAGATCATCTAATGCCTTTATTTTGTGCCTTTTGGTTTCAGTCTCTACACATAAAGCAAGGAGGTAGACCTGGGTGGTTTTTCTCGCTCTTTACTGCCTTGCACTTCCCTCTTTACTGAACTTGTTTCTATTTCTCTAGGAATAATTACACCAATCTGTTGCTAATGAAATAACTGAAATCAGCAGTTGAAGATACGAGCTTCTTTCAGGCCAAGTACATGTATTTTTCTCATTTATTCTCCTAAAAATGTTACATTATTCCCTTTTAACAGACAAAATTGAGATTTTTCTTGGGGTTAGGAAACAGATTTTCTTGGGGAAGGGGAGAATAGGGAGTTATTGCTTAATGGTTAGAGTAATTTTCAAGTATATAATATTGTTAACTAGTCACATACAGTACATTCCAACCCTAGAACTTATCTTATAAATGGGTTTCTTAACTTGTACCCTTTGGCTATTATCTCTCCACTGCCCCAATCCCTTGCAATCACCAATCTACTGTTTCTAGGATAAATCCATACTCATCATGAACGCTAGTGCATAGTGACAGCCTTTTGTAGTCCAATAAAACGGCTTCCAGGTATCTGGAAGACAGAGAGAGGCCCAGATTTTATCAAATTATAGTAACTCAAAGAAATCCTTTTTCTTTTATTTCCTTCTGAAAAGTCCACAATTTTGATATATCTACAATTCCCTAGTTTAAAACCTCAAGTTGAAATCCAGTGACAGGAAGAATTAGACATCAAGGGTGTAAGCTGGCTGTTATTTCAGGTTTTACTACTACCTTAACTGATGTTCCATTGGTACAGGGTTTTAAAAATCCTGTACTTTTACAGCATTGATAGATTAAACCACTACTTATAGTCTGATACTATTACCCAAGACACTTAGGCCTATTTTTTGCCCAAGATTCATGTAAGCAGGGGCAGGTCAGATTTTAATGTGACAGAATGAGATTCAGTGATTAAGACAATTTTTAAGCTTAGTATCTCAGAGGGTGGCCTAGACCAAGTCTTAGAGATAAAAAGGCACAGCAATACTATGAGAATGTCACATAGTTCTACAGTGTTTTCTTAAAGCCAGATGGACAAAAAGCATCCTTTAAGCAAGCTCTTCATCTTTCTATAGCATAAAGGAATGTGAAGATAAGCTGAACCAAAAGTTCTCTTTGAATGTGGAAGACTGAGGACTACGTTACCGTCGAGGCCAAAGTTGTCCTGTAAATAGGGATAGGGAGATGACTGAACTGTGCTGTCAGTGGTGGGCACGGATGAAGGATAAACAAACTTTTTCACTTAAAGAACATCTTTATTTAATCTTTAATATACAATACTACCTTTAATTTATAAAAACTACATACGGAGGACATAACTGAAAGTCAGTTCAGTAGCAGCCTGTGGGTACTGATTTTGGAGGTTATATACTTACCCCATTTATTCGTGTAGGGAAAAATTCTATCAGTGAACTTGAGACCAGTGAGATTGAAGGAATGGCATTTCAGCTTCCAAATTCAGTAATTAAAACTGGGGATACTTTAATTAATTAACCCACCAAAAACTAATTTCTAAATGTTTCCCCAAAAAAGAGCTGACTTTCAAGTTGTATGGTATGCAATTTGCAGTGGAATTCTGTAGCATTCAAATAGTTGCAAGCCATTTGCAATTGTTTAAAATCCTCTGCATACTAACAGGTATATATGTGGGTTTGTTTGTATACTCACATTTACATTCACACTGGGCTGAAGCCATATGTAAAGTATGTTGGATCTAGAAAGGCAGCTCATTTATGTGTGCCCCCCCTCTATAACACTGAATACAGGCTTCTCCTCTAGAATTTCCAAAAATAGTAGAATACATCTTTGATAAATTTCTAAAGTGAAAATTCTGTTCTCAGAATGACTGGTGCACTGCAATGTATATACCAGCAATATGGTGTTGTGTACATTCATGAATTCTGCTGGGCTCAAGTAAAGTTTAAAATTGATTAACTGTTAAACACTGCAAGTGTAAGGTTGAAGTTGAGGGATGCCTTAATTTAAATGTGATGTGTATTGACAACCTGAAATAATGCTACTTGTAAAGGATCTGAGGTGAGTTACACAAAGAGAGAGGAAGGGGAACTCTCTTTTTGAATATATTTCTCTGCACTCCTCAGATTTAGGCTGTTCTAGAGGTAACAGGTGCAGTACTCTTCTGCAATCTGAAAAAGGAAGTGGCTGCCAAACAGCATTTGAGGCACATAACCCATTTTCTGTCACTTAAAATTTCTCAAGACATCGGTTTCTGCAGTACAAAGGTCAAAAGTCTATCATGTTCTTGTCATAAGGCCCTCTCTCACAGTCCTGTCATAGGGCTCTAAGAGTACTCAAGTGCGGGAATTTTTGCTGCTCTAGCAACCTATAGTCCTGGCCCAAAAAATTAATGAGAAGGCAGAACTTGGAGAGTATATTTTGATAACACAGAGACCCTTCCTGTCACATAGAGACTCTGGAATTGTAGCACTAAATGACTAGGTAAGAATACTGGTTGACAGCATACACCAAGAACAAAAAAACTGCCTCTTTCATATTGAAACCTGAACAGACTCCAGAAGAATGTATCTATTTTCAAGACAACAAAATATGTAACTTCAGGTTACACAAATAAATACAATCATACATACACACACTTTTTGCTTTAAAGATGAATTATGTAACTAAAACACAGAGAAAGGATGCAGATCAAAGGTTACAGGGTCTTACAAAAATTAAACTTAGAATCAAGGGTTCACAACTAAGACCTATGGGCCAAATTCAGCTCTCCATGATTTTGTAAATAAAGTTTTATTGTAACACAGTTATACATCCACATTTACATATTGTCTATACCTGCTTCCATCTTCCAATAGCAGAACTGTGTAGTAGAGATATAGAGATCTTATGGATCACAAAAACTAAAATATTTATTATCTGGCCCTTTACAGAAAAGCTTGCTGACTATAGATAAAAAAAAAGTTATCTCCATCATGATCTGAGTGACCTGAAATCAACAGAAAATCAGGTTCACTAATGTACTTGAACCAGAATAAGTGCATTTAAGTATCTCCAGATAATACTTGGTTACTCAAATATCCTCCTTAGAATTTGTGCAGCCAAAACCAGCTAACAAAACACAGACAGTTCTAAAAATCCCTGTGTATAATTGTATTTGTATATATATCTATGTAAAGAGTGGATAAGATATGGGCTAGTTAATTTGAGGGTAAGGAAACTTAAAGAAAAATAAGAATTCAAAATATGATTACAGAAACTGCTATCTGAAATTTAGAAATATTTTAGTATTATATATATTTATATTTAACATCATGGGACCATTAATAAGACCCGTAGCAGAGCAAAAACAGTTAAAAACTGCAAGTTTTACCCATGACTTATGTGACAAAATTTTTTGAATATAAAATAATCAGGATTTCTATTAAACATTGATTTTAATTATATAATTAAAGTGATATAGCAAAATAAGAAGTTTTTATTTATTTTTAAAGTAAATATTTTAGTCAAGGTTGCAACAGAAATCAAGTATTTGACATTTTTCTTAAGTTATTAACTACAATTACAGCTGTTAGTATTATATAGTAACATTGCTTAAAATATAAACCATTTCTTTTCCTCTTTAATTTAAATGAAATATAAAATTAAGGATTTTGTAACATGATTCATACTGGAAAATATTTAAATTGGTATGAACTACCCTTATACAGAAAATGAAACTGGGATCACAAAATGTTCTAATGTTTCAAAGTGCCTAGCACAATGCTTGGCACATAGTAGGTTCTCCATGTTTGTTCACTCATTCTTTCATTCACTCATACATTCATTAAAAAAAATCCAGGCTTAATAAAGAGAAATTGCATAATGAGAATGACAAGCACAATCTTTTATCAATGAATTTGTAGTTTTAACAAAGATTTTGGCAATGGAGAGTGGAGATGAAGATGATGATCACAATTTTACATTGTTTGATTAATAAGCTCTACTAAGTGAAGCCCTGGCTTGCCCTAGATGACAGCATGGAGCATCACGGTCAGTATTCCTTCAATACCTAGGTTTTACTTCTATAAATAGACATCTGCACAAAGACAGGGATGAGTTGGTGTCAGAGACACAAAACAGCATATCCACACAACCCACCAGAAAGTAAGAACCCTCCAAAGGGGGACCTATTTTTCTGCACTGAGACTTCCTGGTTAGGGCCACATTCTCTTGGCTTCAACAACTTTATAGTGGGTTGAACAAAAAAGTGTGATTCTAAAAGAGAAGTAAGTGTAGAAGGTAGAGGGGTGCATAACAGTTATCTCTGTTCTTTTGTCTTTTATGTATCAACTGATCTGTTCTGCACGTTTGTGCCAAAGGCACAAGTGAGGTGTCAGCTCTTTGAGGTGGCACCTGAAAAAGGAACATTTCTAGGCTCTTTGCAGAAGGTCTGATAAATGTCGTGAGTATTCAACCTGAGTAATAAGGTCTACAAAATGCAAAGAACTACATAGGACAGAAGAAAGTAAAGAATACTCTTGGAAACTAAGCAGAATATGGGATAAGGATTGATCTGGGAGGAAATAATTTTTTAAAATCTCCAACAAAAATAAAACATGACACTGGCAAGTTACTTGTAGCTGACTTTAATTTAATTGCCTTTGGTACTGAGAAGGAAAAAATGGAAGCATTGTTAGATGCTCTAGTCTTCTCATCATCACAAGGCAGGGAGTCGTGAAGCAGACCCATCCACTGTCCCACTCCAATTCTTTGCTCACAGCAGAACTGGCCATGCTTGTACACTTCTCTGCCTTCTCTTAAGCTCTAGTCATCTGAGAAATATGAACAGGGTGCTTGAGGGTGGGGGTTCTCTCTTCTACATCTTTGAGAATTTCCTGGGGAATCAAGAAGGCCCTTTACTCTGCATTCCTCTAAACAAAGCACAGGAGGGTTTAATGCCATCTACACAGCTGTTCTGGGTCTTTGCCAACTCAACTTTTTTTCTTTTTTTTTTTTAGTGACTCAAAGGTGGGCTTGTGCTATTTTTAAGAGGAAGGCTGACTTTTTGAGAACCAAATAAAATACCTTCCCTTTCTCTTCTAAAGTTATAGTTATCTATGCTTCTCATTTAAAAATTTTAATTTTTCAAGTAGCAAAAGATATTACTATCTTAAAATATGTGCAAAAATTGAACTCTCTTCAAGATTTAAATAATGCAACTGGCTCTACATCCTTATATTATATGTATACTGAAAAATCTTGGGGTGGTTATCACTTACGGAGCATTTGCTTAAGTGTGAGGACTGCTTGATTACTTGTGGCATCAGATGATCACCCTTAGAAAATATTTATTTATATTAATGTATTAAATGTTTTCCCAACTTAATCTACTACATGCTAATAAAAAGGTTAAAAAGAAAAGCTACGAAAATAATGAAATAACCCTTCAGAATTCTAAGGTGGGCTTCTTGCACAAACACTGTTTCATCAAATCTTCAAATTCAGAGTAAATATTAGACTAACTATACTACTCCGAATTTTGTCAACAGAAGTGTTTGTATTAAATGTAAAGAAGAATAAGTGTTTTGCACTGTGACATAAATTCAAGGGACAGAAAATTTGCAAGCGTTAGATATTTATCTTACAATGCAGTTTTTGATAAAATTTAAGTTCATCCCCCCAAAATATAAATAGTAATTTCTTTAACAGGAAATATCATTGCAAAATCTATTAATGGTTAAGAGAAAGTCCCTTAGATATATCCTAAATATAGTGTGATATGAGTAATTACACCACACTTCCATTACTAGAAATTATTTTGAAGCTATTTTGACTAATTCTTTGGATTTCTACAAATATCCTTGGAGAAAATAAAAGTTGAATTTACTTTTTACATAAAATATTTGTGAAAAGCTCACTCATCTGATGAGATGATAAATAAAGGACCCCTTGTCCCCATTCCAGAAGAATATTTAACTGAGTTTCAATGTTTTTTTTTGTTTTTGACTTAATACACCATAAGAATAATTTGGCTCATCAAGGTAAATTCAGAGATGCATAATAGTATAGTAAATTTTGCCAAGCCACATAAAAAAGTTGTAAATTAAAGGATTCTACTAAGTTTATAATGAGGTTAAAGTGGATGAAGTTTACTTGGTAGATTTTCTGGTTTGGAAAAATAATCTCCTAACCAACAAAACCAAGTCTTTCTCTTAGAACAGGTCTCAAGGCAACAAATTGCAGCAGTTTTCCCATTTTTTGTCATGCTACCAACACTAGACTTGATCAACATGCAGAAAATCCCAAAACCAGGCTCAAAAGTAGTAACTATGATAAATAGCAGTTTCAATGATTCCAAATGGAGACAAAGACTTGAAGAGCAATCTTTGTGAGATCATGCTCCCAGAGAAAATGAAATTTAAACAAGAAATTCAATGGAATAGATTAGGATTTGAAATGGTCACCAGTCTGGTCATCAATGGGGAATCTGAAAACTCAGACAGGAAAAGGTACTCCTGTTTCTTTTTCGAGTCTTCTTGCTACTGATGCAGTTATACTGGTCTTTTGTTCTTGTTTATTTTAATTCATTCCATTATTAAAAATGGAGAAAAAAAGATAAACAATGCATTAAATATTTGATTTGAAAGCTGCTCCACTTTGGGAGGAAACAAATATATAAATGGTCCCAAAGGCCATCTCTAACCCCTGCAAGATGCTCCACATTCTTGGCATATTCTTAGGAAGTCTAGCATCCAGATTCCAGGACTCTAAAAATGATACAGCAGTAATAAGCACAATTTCTCATGTGACCATCTTGTTAAGAATAAAAGCACATCAGGTCTCTGTCCTACACATACCAGAATATGTTTTGGTCAGGTATAAAATGGAATCAGTTCAAAGTTGAGATCTCTACAAGCTGAAAAGTCTTGCAGGGAATAGTCATGTTTCTCCCTGCCATGCTGAGTTAAGAGGTCCAGGTTTTCAAAAGCCCCCTCTCCAGACTAACTTCTGTAGTGGTCCATGTAAACAAAACACAGGTGAGCAAGGTCTTTCTGGAGCTGCTTTCATCGAACAGCAGGATTTCCTGAAAGTGTGGTGTTGGCTAAATTTAACACAGGCAGAGGATGAGCCTCTGTATTGAACACCCAGTGGTCTAAAGGTAAAAGGTCATCACTGGAGAACAGCAGATACAAATATCTGAAAATAAAAGGGAGAAATATGAGCTTCAATTAGAATTCAACAAGAAGATCAAATTATTTCAGTTATAACGGCAGAGTGAACGAATAACCTATTTTGAGCAGCTTTGATGAAAAACACATCAGAGAATGAGCTTCACTCACTCAAATGATCTAAAACACAAAAATGTGTTCCAGAATAGTACATAAGAAAATCCAGTAAGATGCATAACTGGACCTCTGATGTAAGACAAAGAACAAATTCCACATACCTGTCTGAAGCACAGAACATAGTGCTGTAAAACAGCATGAAACAAATCACTTCATAATTTTTCAGACATCCTTTTAAAAATCACATATAGTATTAATTATGTTTTGGCAGCTTGCAAAGTTCATAATATTACTAGAAATTGATTAATTGATATTTATGAATAAATACTGAATTAAATAAGTAAATACATTATTTGGACATAGCAAGACTTTTACACACTCCTACCACATTAGGTTTTGCAGTTTTTGGAACAGGTATTATAAACTGTTCAAGGTTTCAGAAACATGGATTAATAAGAGGCTTAAGATTTTATTAATCACTCTCAATAGGTAATAGCCTTGTTTATATGAAGGCAAGGATTTCTGACCTCTCCATGAGCACCGTAAGCCACAGTGGTCACTTAGAAATTAAAATTACTAGAGTTAGCACACACCATGATTCTTAACTATAATGTTGGGAAAATTCCAATCTGCATCTATTAAAGGGTCATCAAAGTGAGCATAAAACACCAATGAGACAGACTCAGGAAATACAGCTTCTAACTCTTGATTTTAGCAATAACTAGCTGGGCCTTCCTAGCCTTCAGTGAAGAATCCCTTTATAGTAATTTTGCTAAAATTTCTTTATTCTAAGAAGAGGCACATTAATATCTTTTTTTACTACTGTTGCAGTTCTGGATGACATAGTAAAAACACACAACACTGAAGTGGGATTGCCTATCAACTTTACAACTGGTAAGGCTAGAATGGAGAGTAACAGGGCTTCTAATCTCACTCCTTGACCCTAGACCTTGAGGCTGCTTGGCTACGATGTATTCACTGTTACAGGCAGAGAAATTGGAACTGAAAAAGAGACTTGGTTGGGCATAGTGAGACTGTTGGATCCACTTTCTGCATGGAGACCAGAAGCACAAACTTCTGGTGCTATGGGCACAAACGTATCCAGGGGAGATATGTTCTATGTAATTCTGTATCTGTTGGTTAAATGTGGGCTACCTGAAGAGGCTTGCTCTAATCTCTTCACCTCCTGGGAGAGGTGTGAGTGAAAGAATAGATAGAAAATCCAAGAGTTTGCTGCAAAATGATTCCTTTCCATGATGGATGCTATGGAAGTACCTCATGTAAGCACAAATGCTATAAAAATCAGTAAGATAATGAACATGAAAGTTTTAGATAAAGTGATATTATTATTTTGAAACCATCACTTAAGATGTTAATTAAATATCACTGTGGTGGGTCAAAGAATGTTGCTTCACCCCCATTCACGTCCACTAGAGCCACAGAATGTCATCTTATTGGAAATCGGGTCTTTGGGGTGCAATTAGTCAAGGATCTTGACATGAAATCATCATAGATTTAGGGTGGACCCTAAATCCAACGACTTGTATCTTTACAAGAGAAAAGAGGGAAATAGGGACACAGAGACACACTGGGAAGAAAGTCATGTGAAGATGGAGGCAAAGATTGAAATTACGCTGCCAAGAACACCTCCAGATTCGAGACTTCTGGCCTCCAGAACTGTAAGAGAATAAGTTTGTGGTGCCACCAAACTGGTGTTAATTTGTTACGGCAGCCTGAGGGAATTAATACAACTTCCATCCCTAGCCTCTAGGATATCCTTGGACTTTAAACACTGCTGCTTGGTCCCAGGGGTTTGGAACAAAAATGACCACTTCTTGGAGAATCAAAGAATCCCCTAGAAAGCAGGAGAAATACATACATACATACATATAAAACATATGCAAATATATATATATGTGTTTTTAAAAATTTGTAACAAAATCAGTGTTTGAAATTAAAGTGATATAGCTAAATGATTCTTTCAAACATTAGATTATACATTCAGAGGAAGATGTCAAGGATGTGGTAATACTATTACTGATTCAAATTTAAGATTTTAACCTGGATTTTAAAAATAGAACTGAGAAAGCATAATCTTTGAGTTGAGAAGTTGACAATCTAAATTAGCTATCAGAATACTGGATATGTTTTCCTCTAATAACGATTTTTTTTTTTGAGAGGGCATCTCTCATATTTATTGATCAAATGGTTGTTAACAACAATAAAATTCTGTATAGGGGAGTCAATGCTCAATGCTCAATGCACAATCATTAATCCACCCCAAGCCTAATTCTCATCAGTCTCCAATCTTCTGAAGCATAACGAACAAGTTCTTACATGGTGAACAAATTCTTACATAGTGAATAAGTTCTTACATGGTGAACAGTACAAGGGCAGTCACCACAGAAACTTTTGGTTTTGATCACACATTATGAACTATAAACAATCAGGTCAAATATGAATATTCATTTAATAACGATTTTTTAAAACTATAGTTTAAAGTCAGAGTTAATGGAAGACAAATGGCATCAACAAAAACCTGTAGGTATACAGAACAGTGCTACTAAGTACTTCAGTTTCAACAGACGTCTTGCTTACTTTTTTAGAGCTGTTAAACGTTGTTTAGACACCCTCTTTTATCTTTCTCTTATCTAAACATAAGACAATAGAGGAGGTGGTGGTGCCAGAAGTCATCTCAACACAACTGTTGGTGGTAACAGAACAGGTAAATTTTACAGAAAGAAAAAAAGCCAACCAAACCTGAGAAGGAACATGTAAAGTGTCTATTAAAAAATGGAAAAGCTAAAAGAACAATCACCAAGTTAATGTGTTCTTACTTGGTCCTTCATGTTTATTTACCAAATGAGACTTGGTGACTTGTTTATTGTTTTTCACAATTACCAATGGCAATGTCGATTGTATTATGCATAGATGTTATAACTCCAAAAAGGCTTGCATTAGGAACTACAAGTAACTCTTAAGAAAACCATTGTTTGAAAAACAATTGACTTCAACTTCCATTTCATTTATACTTTTTACAGTTTAGGAATATTTTTCTGAAAGGTCTGTTCTTCAAATGTAAACATCAAGGAAGACAGCACCCCAATCTCCCTGTCACTGAAGGAGGTGTGCTTGAGTGGTTTACTCTAAACTCTACCTACTTGTCATAAAGACAGCACTATTATTTTGCCTTTGGATCAAGTCAATTAGTGAACACAGATGGCCACCCCAATTACCATGAGATTTCAGAATAAACTATGTATAGTAAAAGGCGCTGCTGAGAAAGTACTCTTACATAAGAACAAGTTATCATTTGTCTTCAGAACATGTACATAATGAATTTTATCTTCCTGGTTACAGACATGTGAGATTATTTCCTCTCTTTGCAACCTGCCTGTGATGTGACTGCAGTCTAGTCTCATGCTTATTAATGAAAAAAAAAATGTTTTCTGGGATGTTTTCTTTGCTACATTTGTTGTGAAAATTTGCTGGGTTGGCAGGAGATTTTGTTTTTACTTTTTTCCTCCAGTAATCATGATCTCTGCAATTTTCTTGACTTTCTTCTCACAATTTTACGTGTTCCATGACTTACATTTCCACACAAAACGTCCAACATGAGAAAGTATAGGCAGTGTCTCTTCAGGTGAGGGTCTGTTTTGACATTCTAACAGTGTATAGTTTATTTCAATGTAGTTTTAATTTGTACAATGATGTAAAGCATTTCTTCATGAGCTTGTCATCCTTATATCTTCTTTGGGAAAGTGTATGTTTAATTCTTACCTAGTTTTAAATTGGGTTGCATGTTATCTTATTGTCAAGTTTTGAGAATTTATTATATATCTTAGATACAAGTCCCTTACCAGTTATATACTTGGCAAAGATTTTATCCCAGTCTGTGGCTTGTTTTTTCATCATTTAATTTCCTTCCATTCTTTCTCAAACATCTTTCAAAGAGCAGATGTTTTTAATTTAGTCCAACTGATCAATTTGTTCTTTTAAGGATTATGTTTTTGGTATAATATCTAAGAAATCTTTGCTTAGCCCAAGGTCACAAAGATTTTCTCCTATGTCATCTACTAAAAGTTGTATATTTTTAGGGTTTAAATTTAGGTGTCTGATCTAGTTTGAGTTGATTTTTGTATGTGTATACAGAAATCCAATTATTCTAGCACTTTTTGTTGAAAAGCTTATCTTTTCTCATTGCGTCGTCTTTGCACCTTTGTCAAAAATCAGTTGTCCAAATATGGTTGGGTTTTTGCCCTCTCGACTTTCTATTCTGTTCCACTGATACATTCATCTGTCATTACAGCAATAACACAGGGCTTTGATTATTATACATTTATAGTAAGTCTTGAAACCAGGTAGTATGAGGCTTTCAATTTTTTCAAATGTTTTGATTCCTGTAGATTCTGTGCATTTCCACATGACATTTAGAAACAGCTTGTTAATGTCTACTAGAAACCTCTTTAGATTTTTATTGGGATTGCATCTATACATCAATTTGGGGAGAATTAACAATACTGTTTTCAGAACTATAAACAAAGTACATCTCTTCATTTATTTAGTCTTTTGACTTCTCAGGAACAATTTTAATTTTCAGTATATAGGTCTTTTATGTATTTTGTCAAGATTTACCTCTAAATACTTCAACTGCTACTGTAAATGGTGTCATTTTTTAGTTTTGATTTCTGACTGTTCATTGCTAGTACACAATTAACTTTAATATGTTAACCTATCTGCAACTCTGCTAAATTCACTTATTAGTTCTAGTACCTTTTTGGTAACCTTCGTAAGATTTTCTACATTAATAATCATATCCTTATTGAAAAGGATAGCTTTATTTTTTTCTAACCTGAATGTCTGTTATTTCTCTTTCTTGTCTGACTGCACTAAGCTGGAACCTGCAGTTTA